CCTGCCTGTGCCACCACCTGCCTGTGCCACCACCTGCATTATCACCTGCCTGTGCCACCACCTGCCTCCTGGGGCCCCCACAGACTCTTCCCTGGGGCTGTCCCAAACTCTGGGCTCCTCGAGGCGCCCCATGCCGCCTGCTCCCGGCTGTATTTCTCCCCCCAAGTGCACAATGCTTTCTCCCAGAGGCAAACCCGGTGGCCCTGGTGGCGCGCTTCCTTCCAGTCTTTTTTTCTCAACAGCTGGAAACACTGGACCTGGATCCAGCAGCATCCGCGGAATCTTGCCGGGACCAGGGGTCTTGGCGGTGCTGGGGGTGAGGGGTTCAGCAGCAGCGTCTGATCTCCGTGTGCCGCAGGCCAGGGCGGAGGCGGTGGCCGCCCAGCCGACTCTCAGCGTGACCGACGGGCCTAACGTGCCCACACCTGCATCCGCCCTCCCCCGCCCCCGGGCGGGGCTGGACGAGGGAGGGGTGGGCTCTGGACAGGTGGGGCCGGGGCCCACCCACTGTTTCCCAGCACCCTCTTGGGTGTGAGCTCGGCGCCCACCGCTGCAGCTGGACCCGGTGCTGGCCGCTGGCCGCGCTCCCGCCCACTCTGGCAGCTTCCTGGGATCACCTCCAACTAAACCACTTGTATTTACATCTCTGCTTCTGGGGGAAGCCAGCGTCCCACGGCCAGGTGCCGTGCCTGCCGGCCGCACGTGGCTCGCCGTGGCTCCTTCCGTCATCCAGCAAGTTCCAGCCAGACTGTTCCTGCTGCACCTGCAGCTGCCCCGGGCCAGCTGACAGCCCTGCCCCGCCCGGTCCTGGCTGGCCAGCTGCCGGGAGACGGGCCCCGCCCTCACAGCCCAGATGCCCTCACAGCCCAGAATCTCACCGTTAAAGCCCGGCCTGTGCAGGGCCATGGTGCGAGCGCCGGGAAGGGCGGGTGCCAGGGCCGGCGCCCTCAGCCAGGTCTCCACCCCCTTTCCACCAGAGGACAGCGAGGCGTGGTGCACACAGCCGTGCCCGCGGGACGTGCGCCCAAGGGGTCTGACCCCAGGTGGCCAGCAGGCTGGTAAGTCGCCCTTACTTGGGGGCATTTATTCCACTTTCTGGTTGCTATAGGCACGCAGAGTGGGCAGCCTTGACCTCAGTTGCTCTCTGCCTCGCTAATTAGCTAATTACTTCCTTAGGGTGGATTCCCAGGGAGAGAACTGCAGTGTCAAAGGGCAGGACTGGCACTCAGACTCATCCCCAGCCCCCGCCTTGAGTTTGGGCCTCCCACCCGCTTCCCACAGCGGTGCCCGGCCTTGGCCCACCCCACGCTGCCCGCCGCGAGCCTGCGCCCACCCAGCTCTGTATCTGGGCTGTCCCAGGCGCTTGAGAGGCAGCGTTCTCCCAGAGAGGAGGGGCGAGGGTCTGATGGAGAGAGCTGGTGCTCCTGGCACGCAGGCCGGACGTGGTTGGGTCGCTGAAGGGGCGAATGAGCCAGCAGGCACCTGCACCGTCGCTTCGGGCGCACAGCAGCTTCGGGCGCACAGCAGCTTTGAGGCCCGGGCTGGGGCGGGGCTGGGGCAGCCCCTGCTGCTGGCAGGAGGGGAGAGGCGCACAAGCCACAGAGCCAGCCCCCCAGTTGGCCACGGAGGCTGCCAGCTGCCCTGGCTCAGCACCTTCCCCGACGAGTGCTTTCCTTGCTCAGACCAGTGCCCAGCGCCGACCGCTCAGTGTTCCCGTCTGGAACGGGCACTTACTGATGGCCGCGTGGCCAGACGCCCGTGCTTCGTGGGGGAGGTCCGCACGGACCTCCCGAGCAGCTGGGCGGCGGCTTGGGCTCAGGGCTCGGCCTGGGGGGCCGCGCAGCCCCGGTGTGGACGGGGAGGCCCCGCCGCAGAGGGACCCGGCAGCGCGGCGCTGGCCCCCACGGCGTGGGCAGGTGTCTCTGGACCTCTGCACACCACTCGGCATTTCCAGGGTCACCCTACTCCCCGGCGCGAGTCCCGCGGACGGTTCTCACCCAGGGGCCGGCTGGGCCCGCCTAAGTGGGAGGAGCGGACAGTTCGAAAACCGCCACAGCTTCTCTGGTGGGTCGAGGTGACTCACGGAGATGACCCGGCACCCAGCAGCCGGACTCCTGACCGCCCAGAACCCGGCCTTGTGTGATGACAGAGCACCCAGCCACTGACCCCTCCAAAGCGCCCCCCTCGGTCCCGCTCTCGTCCTCAGGAGCGCCCAGTGCCTGGGCAGTCCCCAGGGTGGTGGCCCACCCCCACCCTGGCCGGTGCCCAGAGGCCCTGTCACTGCCTGCCCACACCCCTCAGCCGGGCCGCCACCATGAGGACTGGCCCCTCCGCGAGGCCTGGCCGCCGCGTCTCTGGGCTCCTGAAGCGTCGCGCGCTGAGCGCAGCCCGCCACGGCCCGGCCCACACCTCCGCCCCTTCCCCGCTGGCCTGTCAGCATCTCCTGCCTCGCTGTTGGCCGGGGTGAGGGAGGAAGCGCCGGCCCGTTTGCCTGTGCAAGCCCAGCCCGCTGCTCGTGCGGGAGAGCGGAGTCACCGGCTCGGGCGGCCCCGCGGAGGCCCTTCCCTGGCCGCTGTGTGCTGAGGAGGCCCCTGGCACGGGGGCCAGGCCCGTGGGGTGGCATTGCAAGGACTGGGCCCAGGCCGGGAGGGCAGGGGGAGGGCGCCCCCCTTCGGCTCCCTCTCGCTTGGGGCGGGGCCCGCAGGAGGGGCGTCCCGGCCCCCGCCCTGCAAGGCCGTGGTAGCTCCCCAGCCTTGCGGCTCCCTCCCGGGAACCCGGGAGGGGTGTGGACCCCGTGCCCGGGAGGTGTCTGCTCTGTCCACCCTGGGTCTGGAGTGGGGGTTTGCTGCCCAAGGGGAGCGCAGCGGGGGCGGCCGCGGGGACACGTGCCGCTACTCTGCTGTGGGGGTGCAGCGGGCGCGGCTGGCGGACAGCGAGGTGCCCTGCGCCCAAGGGGCTCCCGGCTGAGCGCCGCGGGGCCCTTTCAACTCACTGGGGGCGCCGGATGGGATCGGGCCCCGGAGGCGTCTGCATGTGGACCGATTAGCTGACCGCAAGGTCTGGCCGGGCCGAGTGGGCTCAGCTGGGGCCAGGTCAGCTGCGATTCCCGGGAAAGGCTGAGATTCCGGACCTGGCCGCACAGAGGGTCGGGCGGACCGGCTGGGGCGGACGGAGCGGCGAGTCCAGCAGCCTGGTGGACACGGCTACCAGGACGGGCCCTCGTCTGCTGCTGCCTCCGGGGCAGGGGAAGGGCCGAGGTGGTGGCTCCTGGGGGCCCAGAACCTGGCCCGCCTGGGGGTCCCCGCAGAGGCCCGGCAGGAGCCAGGGGGCTCCGAGGCGGCTGGGGTACCTGCACCAGACCCGCCTCTGGAGGCGCCGGCCGCAGGGTCTCATGCCCGGCTGCCGCTGCCCTCTTCCCCCCCGGGTGGGGGCGCTGGAGCAGCCCCGGCCTCTGTCCCCACAGGAGCCACTCGCTCATGTCAGGCCTGCGGCGCCAGCAGGGCCTGGTGTCAGCCCACCCAGGCTCGCTCCCACAGCATTGGGGTGCCTGCCCTCGGGGCTCACTGGTCGCTTCTTACTCCTCCTGGCTTGGTCGCCCCACCGCTGGGCTGTGCAGAACACTGGACTGGACCCCCAGATCCCTACGGAGGCCTGCCACCCTCCTTGGCCTGAGCTCAGGGGCCTCGAGGGCCCCAGAGGAGTGTACCCCCAAGACAAGCCCAGGCCGCCAGCCCTCCCGCCTGGCGCGAGCTGGCCAGGTGTTCCAGGCCGTTGGCGCCGGCGCTGGCCAGAACAGCCCTGTCCGGCGGCCACGCCGCCCGGCAGCAGAGGCAGGCCAGGGCCCCCGGTGACGGGGTAGCGAGCAGCCTGGGGGCCAGGCTGCCTCCTGGATGCCCCAGCGCTTGGCACCAGCTCTGTTCCGCCTGGAGCGCGGCTCAGAGCAGACAGCCGTGCTAATCCTGTCCCGGGCAGGCGGCCGGGAGGGGAGCCAGCGCCCAGAAAGCGGCTTGGAGTCCCCGCGGGTCGTGGGTGGCGGGACTGGTGCCACCGGAGATTAGGCACACCTGGCTGGCCCCACCGCCAGGCGGCCGGCGGGTCAGGCCCTCCCACTGCGATTGTCCGGCGCCGCCGACGTGGCCTGCTCTGCGGCTCGGCTGGGCCCCTGCCTGCTGGGACCCCGCTGGGTAATGTTCTCTCAGCATAACTCTATTTAAATTCACATTTCCATCATCCCCCAGAGGGGCCGGCTAGAGCTGAGCTGTGTGGTGTAAGCCGGGAGAGGATTAGAAGGGGTGGGTGTATTTTTCTCTTAGTGATGGGGATGGGGCGGGGGCGTGGGGGCGGCCCAGAGCTCACACCTCCCGTCCAGCTGGGCTGGGGCGCAGGGCCTCTCGCTGGAAGGCCCCTCCCCCGGCCGGCCCGCGCCAGTGCCACGGGCTCTGCCCCTTCTGCTAGCTGCCAGGGACACAGCACCCCGCCGGGACACCGTGCCCAGCCTGCCGACCTGCCGAAGCCCGTCCGAGGCCCCGTCCCCCCCACCCCGCTGCCCCGGGGTGCCCTGGAGTGGGGCGCCCACCCCCCCGCCATGAGGCCCCTTTCTCCAGAGCCAGCGGGGGATTCATTTCCTCTGCAGGAGGCCCTGGGGACGCAGGGCTGTGGCCTCTGGAGCAGAGGAGGGGCCGGGGCTGTCGGACTGGGCCCAGGCTCGGGGCCAGACGAGTGGCTCCCGGGGGAGGCTGAGCGGATGGAGGCAGAGCCGAGAGGGCAGCGTGGGGGCAGGGAGGGTGCGTCCTGGCGGGCAGCTGAGGCGGGAGCCCAGGCCCCCAGCCCCGGGGTGCAGGATGCTGGGCGGGAGGGGCCGAGGGCAGGCGATGAGGCAGCAGGGAGAGGAAGGCAGCTCGCAGCCTCGTGGATGCCAGAATGTGCAAAGCAGCATCTGCTTTTCTGTTTTTCCCCACTGTCAACAGCCTGGCGCTTGGAGGGGCTGCAGCCGCCTCTGCCGGGGGCCGTGCCCCGGCGCAGCGGGCGGGGTGTCACCGCCCCTCCGGCAGCCAGCAGAACCCTGCAGTGCGGGGTCCCGGGTCCCGCGGGCCGGCTCGGGGGAGCCGAGGGGCTTCCCCTGGGGCCTCCGCTTAGCGGGGTGGGGGCTTTGGCTGTGTCCCTGGGACCCCAACACCCCGGGATGTGCCACTCCTGTCCTCTGGGGGACTGGCTGGGGGCGCGGGGGTCCAGGTGGCTTCTGCGTTGACCCCTCACCCCAGCCCCTCAGCTCGGTCCGGCGGTCCTCTCCTGCACGCCCCTGGCTGCCCCTGGCTGCCCCTCCCCTGTGCCAAGTCCTCTATGCGGCCCGGAGAGGCGAGACACTCGCCGAGGCTGCACAGCCGAGCACCTGGTCGCAGCACCGG